TCCAGCGAAAACTTCCCTTTTTCTGTTCCCATTTCTAATGAAAACGTTGTTTCCTTTTGCATTCTTCTTTCCCTTGACAAAAACCGTCTTTTTTTCTTGCATGCACTGTTTTATCTCGGTCTTATTTGATTTTCAAATGCCGTTCCTGATGCAATTTTTTCTCTTGCAAACGCCGCTTTTAGTGTTCTTTTTGCCCCTGTAAACACCGCTGCTCCTGTTGTCTTTCCTGGTTTTCCTTCACTTTTAAACACTGCTTCTCACATTCCCACTTCACTTGCAAACGACGCTTTTCTGGTTCATCTTCTACCTTGGCATACATTTAAAATGTATGCCAAGGCTTAAAGCAGCAACAACGCTACACGTAAAAACTGAAGGTGGTGGAAAAATACACCGAAACGTATTTAAATTGATAAATAAAGACAACAAATGACTGAAACCCAGGAATTAATTTTGATTTGGAATTGAAACACAGTCAGGAAAGTATATACAGTGAGCCAGAAAGCTATTTGAAAGAAAACTAAAATATATACATTAGGTGGATGCTAAAAATGGGGAACTAGACTAGACTAGACTAGACTAGACTAGACTACCATTAGTGCGAAGATGAGCTAGTAACTTGTCGGAAAGGCTGTACAGTTCCTTCGTTCGTATTCCCAAGCGGTCCGAATGCCGAGCTCCAATCCGTATTAAATCAAAGACAACGTCCCGAGGCGTCTTTGGCTGGAGCTCGGCAAGCGCCTTCCTCATAATAGCCACCACAAGAGATTAGCCAGTTACAGTCGGACGCAAATCACTTGGCAGCCAAATTACTTGAATAATTCATTCGGCAAAGGGGAATTTCGCAAAAGTAGCGGTTACTAACCCATCCGATTCGGTTAATCCAGGCAAACATCCAGCACCCACCTGTGAACAACATTGGCCAGCAGATCGTTATGCTTCAGCTTGTAGTCGGTAGGAACTTTTTCGTAGTTTACGGTCAGCGTGCCAGCCTGGATGCAGCGCTCGTACTCTTCGGCTGGATGAGCCCGAAATTCCCTGGCAAACACGTCGAGAATACGCTCGCCCACCCATCTTCCCTTGGTGAATGTGGTGAAGGTGAAATAGTACGGGTAGACTTTTCGAAGTCCTGCAACAATTCAACGGCGATGACACACACCTAATAGGCCCAACCATTCAACTTACCATTTTCAATGTAATAGGAGGTTTCGTTGTAGCGGTCGTCGGTGAATCCCGGCCGCTTGGCTTTGAGGGCTTTCGTCTCCAACTTGGCCTGGAAAAATGAGCCTCAATAAATACGCGCTGATAGAGAAACAAATGCGGATGGGCCGCAATTAAACGGGGAAAACTGCATGCCAGTTCGTTCCGTGACTAAATTTTAATTACCGCAAGCAGCCAGGGCTGCACTACGTCCTGCTCTTTTGCCGTTAATTAATGAGCCAAAAGGAAAAGTTCCGCTTCATTAGTTCACTTTATTGTTGCGACAGGTAGGAGGGAATAAAACTGGCAAAGCGAAGGCTTTTAGAGAAACGATAACATTTTTTTTTTGGTAATTAACGACGAAACGCGTGTGCCTTTGCCAGACAGCCAGTTTATGCAACATTAATATTCCCGTTCCAGCCCATGGAAGAAACCCTTTCGTCCCAGACAGAGCCAGTTTTCATTTCATTCGTGCTCAAGGAGGGCCGTTATTAGCCCACTATATAGATACAAATAATATCGGGAACATCGGCTCAAACCCTCGGGATCCAATAGCAATAATAAACTCGAACCGATAGCCCACAAGAGTCGATTTGTGTATCCTGCGGACTTTCCGTCTGATATATTATCTGACCTAATGTTATTGTTCCAGTTTTGTGCGCTCTTCTCCGATAATCGGCAGGAACCCGATTTTCAATTGGAAGGGTTGTCTTGAATAACCGACTAAAACGTTCATTATGACATTCCCTAAACCCAAAAAACTATCTAAGTGAAGAAGGTTGGGCGGGTACCATGTTGAGATGCCCTAAACAGTAAACAGCCGACTGAAAATCTGTATTCAAAGAGGATTTGCTGGTAAGACGAAACGAACAAAGATGATTTCAACAGCTCCATTCGCCCAAACAACAGTGCATTTCCTGAGCAAACTACGGACGAACAAGAAGGATGGGCTTCAATGTACAGGATACGAATGGTTCCGAAAGAAAAACAGCACCAAAACAGTTTTTAAACCCCACAGACCTTCAGATCGACCAAAGTCCTTTGATAGTTTTTGATTTTTTTCTTATACTAATGCTGTTGCACTTTCACTTAAGTGGGATTCTTTCTGCGCTACAATCCAAAAAAATATTTGGACGTTAAATAAATATTTTTATGTCACATTGAAATTGGCCACACTGTATATCTCTCGTTCACTACCATTGGAAGATGATTCTCAAATAATTCAGACATTTTTTCTGGAATTATTGTCTTCGTGGTACAATATAACTCCTCTAATCCGGGCTGTCAACAGATCGGACAGTCCAGTAATCCAGCTAGCTCTATTTACTCCACTGCTGCGAAAACTTTTTAGTTTTTTCAAAATCACTTACGTCCATACAGTCCCATAAAAGTACGGAATAGTCAAAAAATCTCGCAATCTGTCCACCCAATTTGTATCCAATTTTGTGCAATTAGGAACCTACCAAATTACCTCCGATCTAACTGTGAATTGTTGTCAAGTCTCTAGTTTTCTTAAATTCATATGAATGTGTTTTTTCTTAATGGAACCCTACAAATTTCATACCATTTTTGCGTTTCCACGTTAAAATAATAATTTGATAATTGAATAAATGGAGGTCCAAAATTCATTACTTTACAGCATCCCCCCAATTTCTATCTGCTCCAGCATGAGATAAACTGTACATAAAACGCGTCAGTTTCGTACATAAATGTGACTTTTTGGATAAAAACCCAAGCATTCGGGTAACAGCTAGAAAGCCTAATAAGTATCCAAAAAACAACTGCATTTGAACAAAAAGTCCGGACAAATAAGAAATGTTGCATCAGAAACTTATGAAGGAACAGCCTGGTAGGCATGTGGCACAATCAAAAGATATAAACATTTTCGCATTTCTTTATAATTTGTGGATATTGCGAGAAAAACAAAAGGCACAAAGCAGCGGCGCCACAAAAATGATCTTATATCCTCACTAATTCTACAAATAAAAGCCAAATATTTTTTATGAAAACGGCTTTTGGATGGCTCGATCAATTTAAGGAAGCGTCATGGAATTTGCTGTTTTTAAGCATCGGTCGATAAGCGTCCGTCTTATACGCTTCAGTAAAATCATTTAGAGAACAATTTTCTCATCTGGTCAGAAAAATGGACTTAACACGGGAAAAATTACAATTCCAGAAGACTACAGTGGTTGGGTTCATAGTAGAGAAAAATTGGCTCTTGGTAAAAGACAAATCGCAAAGGACGGATTAATTTGTTATGCTCTAAATGTCTAAAAACGAATGTGTGCGCATAAATTACTTGTAAAAACCTTATTGGTTATTAGAGAAGCCATGGATCCTCTTATGGAGCGTTGAAAAACGCTTCTATCCCTGGTTTATAAAGTATAGAGCACAAGACAAGTTATTTTTTGATTAATTAAAAAAAATGTCAAACCTGAATAGAAATAATTTTTAAATAGTATGAAACCGCCTCATGAAGCTTTACTATTGACAGACAACCCCTCGCATCCTCAAGAACAGGAAATTATGTTCAACTCTAACTTTAAAGTTCTGATTTTGCTACCGAATTGTACGACTAGTCTTCAACCAAAGGATCAAGATCGGATTCAACAAGAAACGCCCAAAAAATTGATCGAAAGAACGCAAGAATTGCTTGGATTTAGCTGGAAAATCCCTTTGGCAAATTTGGACTGTAGGGTGGCCGAAGAAGGCAGCAGAACCAAACAATTCATCAAATCAAAAACACTTAAGGACCAAAATATTCCCTTGTCGAAAGCGAAAAACGCCAGAAAAATTAATGAAAAAACCCCGAAACCCAAGTGATAAATGAAGGAATATCAGATTGGGTTTTGGAAGCATTTGAATGAAGATCCGAATCATGAAAGATGAAGATGATGATGACGACCATAAAGATGAAACAGTAAGCATACTGATGCCATAAAACTATTTTCGACCAGCGCATAAAATAACTTTTACAAAAAAACAATTTTCTGTTGTTTCAATAACTAGTTCTTAACAACTAATGTGTTTAATTTCCAATTCAAGTCTAAACTAAAAAGTCCAGTTCAAAACTAACGAAAAAAAAAGAAAATAATAAACACAAGCACTGTATAAGGCACTAAACTGTAAACTGTCACATCAATCAATTTTTTACCATTTTCGGTGGCGGTTCGCATGTGGCCACATCTGAATCGGGTTTCGGCACCACCTCTGGATCATCATCAGTGTTGGTAGCTTTATCTACTAGTTCCACCATTTTCGCGAAATTTTCGAAAACTCTACGCCTGGGCGTCAGCAACGGGGAAAAACCTCTGAACGTGACAACGTTGCTTTCACATAGACTAGGGAAAATGGGGCACGCAAAGTAACATAACCTAAACAACGCCGAACGACCACCAGCCTGTATCGAAGCAATAGTGAATGTTGGATCACTGTTTTCTTTGCACTTTACACGCGTGAACATACGGGTGATTCAGGATTTGAGTAAAACTCCTTGAAAAGTTGATTAGAAAACTCGCGGGATCGATGCTGACATTTTCGACTTGAGTTGCTCGCGCCCCGTTCGCTGTTGCCGCCCTAAATTTCTCAAGCTTTTCGCTGTAGAGCTGGGATGTAGTTAATGGTGCGAGCCCAACTTGGCAACGATGCCGGGCTTCTATTGGCTGGCGTCGGTTCGACGTCACCCGGGAGATTTGAAGAGTTCATTGCCTGTTTTAGCGCGGTCTGAGCGGTGCAAATGTATTATTGAATTTTCGCATCCGACAATCCTAACAAGACAGAGTGTGACTTGCTCAACATGAAGTTTCCACAAGTTTTTTTTGAGCTTTTTAATGCTGGAAAAAGTCCAGAAAACCTGATTAGTTAGAGAGTAGATTCAACATACGTCTGGTTTTTGTAATGAAAATTGGATGGTTTTGGATGCAACTGAAAATTAATCTCTCCAATTATTTTTTTGGAAAAGCAAAGAAGGTATCAAGTTACCAGCGCAAAGTAGGAAAATGGAGAGAAAACAATTGCGTTATTTAATGCGGCCGATCCGACACGAGTTTCCCCTTCATTACGGCAAAGTTTTTAAAAGTTGTCCAGCAAATTGGATTCAGTTTCGTTGCCGGGGGCACAATTAAAGTTTTTCAGCGCTCCTCATTGGATGCGCAATGAAAATTTTAATTGCCACTCAAAATGGCTCTGTGAATGCAATCGATATTTTAATTAAATTGGCAGCAGACAAACTGTCCGTTTTCGCCGAACTTACTATTTACATACAACCCCCCCGGACAGGTACATAAATCCCGATCAGCCGCACCAATAAAATATTAAAGAACATCCCCGGAAAACGCCTCAGGCTCTTAGTACTTCATCCGGCAAGTTTCAGATTGAAAATTATCGGTCTCCTGTGCCACATAATACATATTATCCAGTTTTTCTTCCCGGCGAAATAAATCACGGCTATTTATGACTCCCAAAGACTCAGCTTTCGATGAACTTTGGCCAGAGGCTGGAACGGTTCGTGCGGGGCAAAGCGCCTTTTTTCGAACGCATATTTTGGGTTTCATAAACTGGGGCAAAACGTGGATTGACAAGTTTATCGCGGCAATTAAACGCTGAAATAAGCGTCACAACCAGCATTTTTCCATTTTGTTCTACTGTGCCCTGTCCTGCCGGCCGGACGTGCATAATTTCCCTTTTATCCTTCATGGCCCGGACTGTTTGGGCTTCCTGATGAAGGGCACAGTTGCTTCTAACTTATCTGGGTTTTTAGTCAAAAACACCTCAACATCGTGGCGAACGTG